CGGTTCACTAAGAAGAACCGGTTAAATTGAACGATTCGTTCGCGAACCGGTCATCACTAGTCCAAAGCCACGCCCCCTGAACGCACACAGATCAGACGACCAGAGACAACATTACTACAATACATCATGTGTTCTTCACCGGTGAGAAAACTTTATAGCACAGTTAGTAAAAGTACTACAACACCAGGAAGGAAGGTCAGGTTGTTGATTTTTGCCTGCCATTCTCGCTCTTTTTTTTTTTTTTTTTAGAAATTTACTTCACGAAACACGAAAAGTACAAATCAGCCAGATCTCCAGCTGTGTGTGTTCGTTTGTGTGCCACCCTTGACCTGACTGGACTGACGCCATGTTTTGGACGCTCCTCCTGGCTTTGATCCTACTGCTGTTGCTCCAGGCACAGCTGCTTGTTTGTCTGCATGAACTCCGAGCCTCTCTGACCTCAGTGACTTCAGCGACCCCTTCTGGAAGTTCCAATGCCTCAGCTTTGCAACGTCTGCCAGGAGCCATAATCATCGGGGTGCGCAAAGGAGGCACCAGGGCTCTGCTGGAGATGCTCAACCTCCATCCAGATGTGGAAGTAGCCAAGAACGAGATCCACTACTTCAACCTGGATGAAAATTTTCGGAAGGGTCTGGACTGGTATCGCGCCCAGATGCCCGTCACTCTCCCTGGGCAGCTGACGGTGGAAAAGACCCCTGGCTACTTCACAGCACCACTGGCCCCAAAGAGGATATGGGCCACGAATCCAGCTGTGAAACTGCTGCTGATCGTTCGTGACCCAGCAGAGAGACTTGTATCAGACTACACACAAGTTCTCCACAACCGAATTCAGCAAAACAAGCCATATCAGCCACTCGAAGAGCTGCTATTATCACAAGAACACATCAACCCCAAATACAAAGCCCTTCAGAGGAGCTTTTACTACCAGCACCTTGCCAGATGGTTGGAGCTTTTTTCCAGAGAGCAGATGCACATTGTGGATGGAGAGGCACTGATTCAGAATCCGTTTCCTGAGCTGCAGAAGGCGGAGACGTTTTTGGAACTTCCACCTCGGATAAAGCCGGATAATTTCTACTTTAACGTCACTAAGGGCTTTTATTGTATGCTGTCTGCGGGACACGACAAGTGCCTGGATGAGTCTAAAGGAAGACCACATGCACCACTTAGCAGCGAGGCTTTCCAGAAGCTTTGTCGTTACCTGCGAGTTCCCAATCAAATCTTTTTCAGAATGGTGGGACAGAGGTTTGACTGGTGCTAAAGACAGCCGAAAAATTATTGACAGCTCTTACAGAGACTGAGAATGGGATTTAAACTACTACTGAAACCCCATTTTGTGAAAATGTTCTAAGATTGTCAAAGGAATGTGGTTAAAAATGACAGCAACCAGTTTGCAAGAGGGCCAAGCAAAGAGACCAGAGCCAAAAACTGTTCTGAACGCTAATACATCTAGCCCACAGTTTGTCTTCTGTGAAAAAATAGAATAGATCTGCAGGACTTCATGTGCTTTAAAAACTCTTTGGACCACTTTTGACTCCAAAAGTCTCAGTTCAAACAGACTATTGAATTGGTGAAAGTGAGATTGAAAAGATCGGCAAAGTCCAAGTTACTGAAGACACTTGAAAACTTGGTTTTCTCTAATAGAAAATAAAGATGGAATGTGGATAGACACCAAGAATTGCATATAAGTAAAATAAAAAAGAAAATGTTACTTCCAGTGGTACTTGAAGCATTGAACAAAAATACTTTGCCAGATGTAATTATTGTAGTCTAATCATTTAATTCTCATGTTTAATCTACTAATTTGTACTTTAAGATTTTATTTTAATTTTTGAATAGAAATGTCTATTTTTAAATTAATTGGTTCTTTAAATGAATGAGATATTTCATAATGTCTTAAGTTAATGCACTACAAAATTGTTTTATATTCAATAAATATGTGTACATAAAACACCTGTACATCTAAAACACTGACAATGTTTTCAACACCTCGATCAAAATCAATTTCACTATACACAAATGTCTCTGTTACTTTATGCAGTCTTTTTTTAAATGTTTCCAGCCCTTAATTTCAGGAGGCCTTTTGACAGTACGATAATGAAAACTTGTGCTGCTCAGTATCTTTTTCTGCTGTTGTTATGGCTACTGATGTAACTACATTCTACATCTCATTTAAGTGTACGTGATTTTAAACATATCGATTTTTAAACATACTTCCTAAGCTTCCTAAGGGTTAAACATTTTAATGGCTACAAAACGACTGATCCACCTTTTAAGAGTCTGCCTACATTTCCTACATTTACTGTCACTACGCTCTATGGTCAATATAAGATAAACCACAAATGAAAAATAATACAGACAACTTTCATATGTTAGAAACAGAAGTTGCTCTTGGCATACAACTTACATGTATACATCTTCAAAGGCAGTGAAGCCTGGAGTTTTGCCATTTGAATCTCTTGCGATATGAACAGGTAAGGATCCTGTAGATGTCGTCAACAGATGTCCGTTGTCCGATAGGTGGCAGTGTTTCATCTGATATGTATAACAGGAACGTCATAAAAACAGCAGAACCAGGTGATTTGAACTTAAAATACAACTTGTGACATACGTCAAAACGTTAATGAAATTTAAAAGTACACTAAGTAACTTGTCTGCTTAAAAACACATAAACAGAAAGAAATAGTTTGAATGTTTAAAACTATTAAAGGCTTAGAGAAATCGATTTTTACAGTAGATAAGACAGGTCCTCCTTCATTGTTGACAATATTTTGAGATCACGTGACGAGCCAACGGAAGCCTTAAGAGGCCATGCATTAGCGAAGGGTGCTTCCCTTAAGAGAACACTATGCATTTTATGATAAATTAACGTTAATGAAATTTAAAAGTACACTAAGTAACTTGTCTGCTTAAAAACACATAAACAGAAAGAAATAGTTTGAATGTTTAAAACTATTAAAGGCTTAGAGAAATCGATTTTTACAGTAGATAAGACAGGTCCTCCTTCATTGTTGACAATATTTTGAGATCACGTGACGAGCCAACGGAAACCTTAAGAGGCCATGCATTAGCGAAAGGTGCTTCCCTTAAGAGAACACTATGCATTTTATGATCAGAGTTGGGCAAGTTACTTCCAAAATGTAATGCGTTATATATTACTAGTTACTGTCTTTTGAAAGTAATTAGTTACATTACAATATTACTGTCTCTGAATTGTAATGCGTTAC